CACACACACTTTCACACACAAATGCTTTTACACACAGACGGTTACACAGAGACTTTTACACACAGAAACTATCAAAAAAGCCGCAAATTTTCCTCGGTTTTTGACGTTCAACGTCCATTTCGTGCGAAAGGGTTGCGTCGGACACCTCAAAGTCGCAATTTTTCCTCAGTTTTTGACGTTCAACGTCCATTTCGTGCGACAGGGTTGCAACGTACTATCCGTCAATCGCAATTTTACCTCAATTTTTGACGTTCAACGTCCATTTCGTGTGAAAGGGTTTTGCGTCGGACACCTCAAAGTCGCAATTTTTCCTCAGTTTTTGACGTTCAACGCCCATTTCGTGCGAAAGGGTGCAACGTACTAACCAAAATCGCAATTTTACTTCAGTTTTTGACGTTCAACGTCCATTTCGTCCGAAAGGGTTGCGTCGGACGACTCAAAGTCGCAATTTTACCTAGGTTTTGGACGTCCAACGTCCATTTCGTGCGAAAGGGTTGCGTTTCATGGCGCTCCGGCGGCACCGCCCCTGGCCTTAAGAGAGAGATAGAAAGAAGAGCGAGTGAAGATGTAGATCTGCAGATGTGAGGGCGTGAAGATGTAGATCTGCAGATGTGAGGGTGTGAAGATGTAGATCTGCAGATGTGAGGGTGTGAAGATGTAGATCAGCAGGTGTGAGCGTGTGAAGATGTAGATCAGCAGATTTGAGGATGTGAAGATGTAGATCTGCAGGTGTGAGGGTGTGAAGATGTGAAGGTGTGGAGATGTAGATCAGCAGGTGTGAAGGTGTGAAGATGTAGATCAGCAGGTGCGAAGGTGAGAAGATGTAGATCAGCAGGTGTGAGGGTGTGAAGATGTAGATCAGCAGGTGTGAGGGTGTGAAGATGTAGATCAGCAGGTGTGAAGGTGTGAAGATGTAGATCAGCAGGTGTGAGGGTGTGAAGATGTATTACAACGGCTGCTTTTTTACGAAGAACCCTTCGCAGGCGCTCTCGGGAAAAATGGTGAATTCCCAGTGATTTCTTGGTACTTTACCAGATTTACCAGCCAAAACCGTGATTTCATAGGATTTCACCAACCAAAAAAAAACGTATTTTTATGCTGCTGTATAGGATTTTTCCAGCAAAGATGGTGATTTATTGGTGATTTAACAAATGGTGAACTGATCGGGTTTCACCAAGCGAAATGGTGAGATTTTGTGGGACTATATGAATTAACCAACTTCATAAAGGAATTAACCAACAATGTGGTGATGGGTTTCGATTTTAATTGGATTTTAACTTCACCAGCAATATTAATGCTAATTTTTCATGGGATCTAACGTTGCTTCTTAAATACTTCTTCCTTAAGGATGGTAAGACCCATACAGTTCTATTCTATTCCCATTCTAATACAATTAATTCCCAGATCTTCCACATTTTCCATAGTAATACTGGGAATAGGAAATATTTTTGGAATACATTAATTCCAATTCTAGTACAATTAGTTGGAAATACAGGTCTGGATAAATACAGGTTTGCGCATAATTTCTAGCTTTCCAACTGTTCCGCATATTTTTGCGGTTGCTATACCCTGTTTTCAGACCAAGCCAAATGTATAAAAGGTTGGGAGACATAACTAGCCCAACTGTTGGGCTTATGGTAATGAAAAAAGCATAGTTCCGGGGTAGACATTAACCAACAAACATGATGTTTGGGGGCACAACCTTGAATGTAGTATATACAAACATTTATGTCTATCTTATATTATGCATTTTAAGTACGTATGCGGTAATATGTAAACATAATATATATATATATATGTAAATATATATATGTATATATGTATATATATATATGTGTATATATATATATATATATGCGTGTACAGCACTAACTGTCAACCCTGCCTTCGTTCGGCTAGCCAGGCCAGTTGGTTCCTTTTGAGGTGCACCGCCTGCAGAACAAAATGAAAAGGTTTCACAGGTTCGCTTCATTTAGGTTTCAAGACGTCAATTGCCTAAAGAGAGAAGCTTGCGCCATGCAATACACATATTGTAAACTCCACGACGCTCAACTCACTCAACTTACTCAAATACGCAGGATTGCTTTAAAGTCTCCAGCTTGAGTGAAATATACATGAAACCTTTGATGATTTTAACATATAGCACATTGACTAGCACATAGCAAATTTGTGGCCGCTGTTTCAACGTGGTCAGAGTCATTTCTCAAAATGCTCAGGGTGATCCAGTCTACTGTACCCGGATCCAAACCCATGAGCAATTAAATTCTACTCCTAGGTGGTACAACGTTTAGCACAACCAAGTATACCCAATGCAATCTAACTCCAATCAAATATCGTGAGGTTACCAATACACCCCAACAAAGGAAATTAAATTAACGACTTGGCGTTGATGGAATGCGCACTACGGGGACGAAAGTTATGGCAGCTGGTGCACCAGACAGCCGAACTGTACGCCCACTAAAACAACAGCCAGGCAGCGCTCAACCTCAGCCGATGGGTGCAAAATTCATGTCCATCTGAAGCCCGGAAGCCCACCCAGAACTCACAGGCACCTGGCCTGCGGTTGCTCCATCTGCTGAAACCTTGGCCCGAAGGGCGGGAGGAGCGCTTCTCAAAGCAGGAAGTTTGAACTATTGGAAGGCAACAAGTCTTCGCTGGATTGAAAAAGATCATTATGATGATGATGATCATCATGATGTTGACCGTGATGATGATGAAACTTCTTGGCCGACCTGCTTTGCAACCTAGGGACCTGCTTTTTGGACCTGTCGGAACCCTGCTTGGGAATTTCAAACCTTCTTGGCAACCTGGCTTTGGTAAAATTGTGGGAACCTTAGTTGCCAATTTGCCTTTCAATCCTGCGCGAACCCTGTTGGGGAACCTTGAACTTGCGAAAACCTTGCGTTCCCAGCTTGCCTTTTGAAGAAGCCCAGCTTTGCAACCCAACAGTAAAAATAAAATTCCGAATGTTGATTGTGGAAAAAACATGAAACAACATCCAAGGTCTCCCGGTCGATTTTTGGTCCTCAAATGTGTTCTCAAAACGTCCCTTGCCTTCTCAATCTTCACATACTGCGTTTGAACATGCGCAACATGCACCTTCCGCAATGCAGACTTTCTAGTTATACATTATGTTTTGTTTACATACACTTTCTAAAAACACACCATTTATTTAAAAAACACGCATCATACTTTTCAAAACGGACAATATCAATTTTCTGCACTACACGTCTTCGATTTACAGCTTGACACATCATTGCATTTTCCCATAATGTGCTTAAGCGTACACATTTTGCGCTTTGTAGAAACGCACCGTAAATCAAAAACACATATCATACGTTTCAAAATACACAATACCAGCTTTCTGCACCACACACCTTCTTTTTGAAACTTGCCACATCATTGCATTTTCCTAAAATAAATAAAGGTTATTTTTTTCCAATTGACACATCATTTCCCTTGAGATCCCACAGTATGTGCTGCCCTCAAAACATACTTTGTGCTAACAATCTGTACATAGTGTGTTTAAACGCGCTGATATGTACTTTCCGCAATGCAGACCTTTTATTTTCAATCTATGCAAAATTTGCTTAAACAGACACACTATGCGCTTTACAAAAACGAACCTTGAATTTGAAAAAGACACATCATGTGTTTCAGGTTCCAGGACTAGCTGCAGAGTTCCAGGACTCTAGGGTTCTAGAGTTCCAGAGTTCTAAGGTTCCGGGGTTCTAGACGGTTCTAAGGTTTCGTTTCAATGTTCCAAGATTGTAGAGTTCCAGGGTTCTGTTCCGGTTCGGCGGCCGGCAATCAAGCGACGCACCAGTCCCAGATATTGAAACTCAACAGCTGTTCACTGTTGTGAATAGATTGTAGTCGATTTGGGCAGAAAATTGTCTTGTCTGAAGGTGAAACGAGGCATCGACCACAAATGCAATGACTTCAAAAAGGCCATTTCCATATTGCGCAGAGACTTACACACTCTCAAACACTTCACTAAATTGTGAGAATATGCAAAAATATCCAAATGTGTCCAATGTCTGAAAGTTATGAGTATTTACACCTGTGATGATGCCTATGCAGTTTTATGTGTTTGACTGCAGCAATGTTGGTAAGTAAGTGATGTAATGCTTGCTAAGCATGCTTTTCAGCATGCTAACTTTACAAATGCTTTACATGTTTGCGAGCTGGACAGCAAACTGGACATCTGGAACACACTCTGACAGGAAGACGGAGATATGACGTTATCCACTCATGCCCTGCCAGTTAACAAACCGTAAGAAAACTAAGATAAACTACGTGGAACCCGGCGCATAGACGGCCGTGGCTCAAAATGAAGATTAAGTATCATCCAGCATTGATTTTCTATGCGTTTGTAAGGGGATTTCTCGGGTTTCAGGTGTATACACTTTTTGTGGCTGAATTCCATTGGAAAGTTAGCAAAATGGTGTTTTTGCCTCAGCGAAACGATAATTTTAATGTTTTTCCCCACATTGACGTGTGGGGTTTTTGTTTTTGGTTCTGTATCTGCTCCTCCTTCCTTCCCGCCCTCTCACTCTCAACCCTCTCAGCTCACACACAGAACTCACTCACTCTCACTCTCACTCTCTCACTCTCTCACTCTCTCACTCACTCACTCACTGACTCACTGACTCACTGACTCACTGACTCACTGACTCACTGACTCACTCACTCACTGACTCACTGACTCACTCACTCACTCACTCACTCACATCTCACTCACTCACACACACACTCACTCACTCAATCACTCACTCACTCACTCACTCACATCTCACTCACATCTCACTCACACACACACACACTCACTGACTGACTGACTGACTGACTGAC